AAGTCAAAACCTATAAGAAGGAGACACAAGTCATTTATATAATGATGAAGGGATCAATTCAACAAGAGGATATAACAATTGTACATATATACGCACCCAACAGCAGAAAACTCAAATACATAAGGAAAATATTTTAGGTGTAAAAGGAGAGACAGATTCGAATACAATAATATATGAGGACTTCAACACCCCACTTTCATTCACAGACAGATTATATACACACACACAAATCAACAAAGAAATGTCAGGCTTAAACTATACTACAGAGCAAATAGACCTAAAAGACATTTACAGAATCATTCCTCTAACAGTTGCAGAATTCACATTTATATCTTCAGTACATTCAACATTCTCCGGGATAGATTGTATGTTAGGACAATAACAAGTCTTAACAAATTAAAACCACTCAAAATCATATCACGTATCTTCTCTGTCCACAATGGAATAAACTAGAAATCAACAAAGGGAATTTTAGAAACTGTACAAATACAAGGATATTAAATAACATTCTCTGGCATGACTAATCAGTTAACAACAATTAATATATATTGGAAAAAATGAAAATGAAAACACAAGCCAAAACCTATAGGATATAGCAAGAGCAGTACTGAGGAAAGTTTGAAGCAATAAATGCCTACGCACGCACACACACACACCAGAAAAAAGGAGAAAGATTTCAAATAAACAATGATATAACTCAAGGAATTAGAAAAGCAAGAACTAATCAAACTTAAAATCAGAAGAAAGGGAAACAGATCAGAGTAGAAATAAACAAAATTGAGATTGACAAAAGTGAGTAATAAAACAAAAAATTTATTTTTAAAAGATAAAACCAATACACCTTTATCTAGATTAAGAAAAAAAGAGATCTAAACAACATGGAAAAAGCATTTGATAAAATTCAATATTCTGTCATGAGAAAAAGCCCTCAATACATCAGCTAAAGAAGAAACACGCCACAATATGATAATGGCTGTATATACCAAATGGAGAAAAGGTGAAAGCATTTTCTCTAAGATTTGGAACAAGACAAGGATGTCCACTTTTCACCAGTCTTATTCTTTATAGCACTGGAAAGTCCTAGCCAGAGAAATAAGCAGACAAAGAAAAAAGGGCACCCAAATCATAAAGGAGGAAGTCAAACTATCCCTTTTCACAGACAGCATAATTTTATATAGAGATAAACCTAATGATGCCATGAAAAAATTATTAAAAATTTATCAGTGAATTCAAGAAAGGTGCAGGGCACAAAATCACATAAAAAAATCAGTATCATTTCTGTACATAAACAATAAACTTCCTGAAAAATCAAGAAAGCAATCCTATTAACAACAGATATAAAAAACCAATAGATATAAGGAATAAAATAAAATACTTAGGAATAAATTGAAGAATGTGAAAGATCTCTACAATAAAAAGTATAAAACACTGAGGAAAGAAATTGAGGAGGACACACAAAAATGAAAAGATATCCCATGGTCATGGCTTGGAAGAATTAATAATATTAATCTGTATAACACCTGAGATAATCTACAAATTTAATGTAATTCTTATCAAAATACCAATGACATTCTTCACAGCAATAGAAAAACTATCATAATATTTGTAATGGAACCACAAAATGCCTCTAATGGCAAAAACAGTGTTCACCTTCCGCCACCTGCCTCGGAAGTGCAAAGACCCGAGTTTGATACCTGGTACAAAAAAAAAAAAAAAAAGAAAAAAAAATATAAACAGTGTTCATTAAAAGGAATAATATTGGAGACATCATAATACTTAAAAATATACTGCAAAACTACAGTAACCAAAACAGCATGGTACTGGCATAAAAACTCACATACAGACCAATGGAACAGAACAGAAAACTTAGAAATAAATGTACACACCCACAGGCAATTGATTTACAACAAACATGTCAAAAGAATACCTGGGAGAAAGAACAATCTGTGTAGTAAATAGTTCGAGGAAACTGGACATCCACATGCAGAAGGATGAAACCAGATCCCTGTCTCTCACAATCTATAAAAATCAACTCAAGCGGGGTATTTGGCTCAGTGATTTCACTGCCTGCTGTGCAAGCGGAAGGACCTGAGTTCGATCCCCAGTACCAAAAAAAAACCAAAACAAAAATAAACCTCATTTAATAATACACTGCAACAATGCCAATGTAGTTGAAAACAAAACAAAACAAAACAAAATCTATCAACACAGCACTCCTAATATTGCCTCGACATTTAATTTAATGTAATTAATTAATTTTTTTCAGTACTGGGGATGGAACTCAGGGCCTTGCACTTGTAAGGCAGGTGTGGCGCCACTGAGCTAAATCCCTGGCCTGCCTTAACATTTTAAAGAGAAAAACCACATGGCATTTGTTAAGAGTCACCATGCTCTGGCACAGAACCACCCATTCCACACCAGCCACCAGGGCCACACAGGGGCAGACCCTGGACGCCAGCCGACCACCTGTTAAAGACCACTTCCCAGATCCACGTGCCTCCTTTACATCACATCAGGCGATGCTGAAGCCCTTCACTGGGAACAAACAGGCTGCCTGCTATCCCCTCCGCTGCCTGTTTAATTGGTCCTGGCTAGCGGTATAGTAAAATTAAGAGTGACTCATATATATTGGTATAAATATTGGAAGAGAGATAAAGGCCTAATTACCAATGACAGGACTATTTGAACAGATTCTAGTAAAAGAATCATTAAAGTCAATAAGAAAATTTGGTAAGATGACGGTGTAAGAAAGTATTTAAAAACCAATCACTTTTCAGTTAACAAGAACCAACTTGAAGCATACATGGAAAAAAATATAGCCCAGTCACAAATATTTAGAAATAAACTTAGTGAAAAGGTAGAGATTTATAGGCAAACCCTAAAATATATATATATTTTTACACAGGGTCTCCCTATGCAGTTCAGGCTGGCCTCAAATTCTCGATGACCCTCCTGCCTCAGCCTCCCAAGTGCTCGGATTACAGGCATATGCCACGACGCCTGGTCCTACAGAATCTTTTAATATAAAACGGAGAGAAAAACTATCTTCCCAGAAAGGAAAAGGGTATCATAAGTGTCAATCTTCCTCAGATTAATATGAAACTTTATTGTGATGTCAGTCAATTCCTGTATTTTCTTACCACTGTAGCCTGCATAGAGAAGAATGAATATTTTAGAATAGCTGAGAATTACCCAACAGGACTCGTGAGGGGACCTGGCCTGAGTGGTGTGCAATACTCCTGGATGTGGGGACTAGCTGTAGATTTACTGTGTGTGGGATGGGAAGTTCAGCGTCAGTGAAGAGCACAGCAGACCACTCTTACTAGGTATAGTGAGAAAAGGAGGAGACAGAGGTTGGGAGCAACGAACAAAAGCAGGGCAAATGGCACGGAGACAGCTGTGCATAGACTCCTCCGGAGAGGAAAGCAAGGCAGGAAGTACAGCTGAGCCTAGGCTGGTACCCGCCTGGGCTCTGACCCGTGCATCCAAGGGGCGAGGCACACGGACGCACCCCCATCACAGCACAGGCCAAACCCAGTGGCAAGGGATACGAGGGCTGGAACATGAAGGCTCAGTCGTTGCAAACATCTAACACCTCCTGATTCTGGGGCTCAGCAGGGTACTGGAAGGAGGGGTCACACCCATGCATTCCTTCCCTCTCTGTCGCACCTTTGGGATGTTGAGTCAAGGAGAGCAGGGGTTTAGTTCTGTTCAGTGCTTGGCGCCCCCAGGACCTAGAGCAGGGCCCACTGTCATAGGCACGCAATATACATTTGCTTAATGGGAATGAGCACCATCAGAAAGACACAGACCTGGAGGGAGACGACCCACCAAAAACAAAGCGGCACGCATACTCTCTACCACCAAGCCGAAGTAAACACAAGCTGAATGCAAGTTCTGTGAAGTGCAGTGAGTGGAGAGCCTGGGTTTTCGCAAGCAATGGGGAAGAAATTAATCCATAAATTTACTCCTTCACCCGCCCATTCACCATGTGTCCGTCTGCCCACCCACACTCGCCCTCTCCCAACTCGCCTGCCCGACATTCCACTGTGCCCGTGTGAGAGAGGTACGCAGGATACAGGCAGAAAGAAGACAAACTCCTGCTCTCTCTGAGTCCACACTCAAGGACAGTCAACTGTAACACACCCATTCTTACAGATTTAAGGGATGAAAGATGTCTTTTAAAAATTTAGTGTACCCGTCTTACATTTTTACAAATACAGAGGTCTTCCGAGGGAAACCTTTCATAAAGACTTTAGGGTCTTTACCCTAGTTTTCTTGATGAGGCTTTAAGCACCTCAACTTTAAAATCTGAAGGAAAACGTTCAGAGATTGAACACACCCAGAAAGGGGCAGCTGGGCCGTGTGGGTAGGTTCCAGTACAGAGCACTTTTCCCTGACCAATCTCAAATAAGGAACCCTGGTTAGAGGTGCTCTCCAAATGAATCATAACAAAGAAAGTCCCCCAAATGCTATAGCTACTTCTTCCTTTCCTTTCGTTTTGCTTTGTTTTTTGAGACAGGATCTTGCTACGTTGTCCACGCTGGCCTCGAATGGGTGGCGAGCCTCCTCAGCATCCCAGGTATTGAGATTACAGGCATGTGCTGCCATGCCCGATTTACTTCTTTATTTCTTTAACATAAGAAGAATGAAGAGGTTCTACTATAACTTTTACAATTATTCTTCTTATAGAAACTCCTTCCTGGATTGTTAAGAGTTCTAAGCTAGAAAATTACTTGAAAGAAAAATTGGCTAACTCACAATTACTATGAAAAGCATATCCTGTTTTAGTATTGTATACTTATATTCATTATTAGATTTTTATCTTAATAATCCCAAATTTAAAAATGTTAGTTGAGTAAATAAGTTAATGCATTCAATCTAAGAAACCTCAAGAGAAAAGATCCTGCAAAATGTAAACATAGTGAAGGAATAACAAGCTAATAAACTCCCAGATATTACTCCTTCTCCCAAATAGCCACAAGTTTAAAAAAATTTACCTTTCAAAGATGGTAGCTTTTGCAGTTCTCTATTACTACTGGCATTAAACCGTGATGAATTCTGCCGTTTGTCTTTCTTCGCCATGGGCTGAGGAGGGGGTGGTACTTTTATTTTAGCAGATGTTGAAGACTGGACAGCCACAGCGCTGTTTTTTCTGCTGGAAATTTGCTTCCAAAATAAAATAAAAACAAACGAATAAGTAAAATGCTGTATGTATAGCACAATCAAAATTAGAAAAAAACAAAAAACCAAAAATGCAGACAAATCTTGCTCTGGGAGAGTCCCTCACTCCACAGTAGCCAAGATTCCTTGGTGGTGCTGGTGGGTCAGGCTGCATCCCACCTCCAGCAGTGCTAGACTCCGAGAGGCTCACAAGGGTACCTAAATCTTATGTCTCCCTCAGACTTTCCGAGTCTACATATCTTACCATGGAGGTTGATATGGTGAGCTGAGCAATGACCCCCACCCCCCAAAGATGATCACGACCTAACCCCCCACACCTGCCAAAGTGTAACTTCACTTGGCGAGAGACTGCAGATGTGACCAAGTTCATGGTCCTGAGGCAGGAAGAGATCTTGGTTATCACAGGGCCCAAAGTCATCAGCCGACTCCTTTCAAGAGGGAGGCAGGGGGCTGGGGATTCAGCTCAGTGGTTCCACCGCCTGTCTCCCAAGCGCAAGGTCCTGAGTTCGATCCCTGGTACCTCCAGAGGCTGTGCAGGCCTGCTCAGTCCTTCCCTCCTGCTCAGTCCCTCCCTCCATGTCAGACTCAGGACTCCAGAACTGTAAGATGTTAAGTGTGTGTTCATGTAAGCCACTGGGTTTGTGGTACTCTATACAGAGTTGACAGGCAGCAAATATAATGGACACCTCCTAGGACGACAGGTTTTCCTCACAAGCTCACCCCTCAGCCCTCAAAAGTCAGTGAAGGCTGTATAAAAGAGCTTCCCCTCAGCCAGGAGCTGCTGTTCCTCCTGGCTTCTCTCTCATTCATCCATCTCTACGCTCCTGACTTGCACACTCATCCCCAGATGGCACTGCTGCCCTCAGGCCTTCCAACCCCGTGCCACCCTGCAATGCAGCGCTAAGATACTCATGAGGGGCAGAGAAGAGGCCACGGAAACACATGGCAAAGGCAACCACACAGGCTTAAGGGGCCACGCTCCCTGTGTGGCCCTGGGACCCCCACTGGAGGGCTTCTTGGCCAATGACCAGATGACAGCACGCCACGGCTTGGCGCTACCCTCACCTAGCAGTGACAATCGCCACTGCAATGCAAGTGTTGGCCACTAAGATTCATCCAACATATTCACTGTGGTGCCTTCGTCTGGCTGCCCTAAGTGACGGGGCCAGTTTCTGCACAGGTGTGCTCTACAGAGAGCCACCAAGTTCTAACCTGCAGGCGCAAATCCCCAGCCCATTCCAATTACGCAGGGCTGCGGGGGTGGGCGCGCCAAAGCCCCAACCACATCTGCTCTCATCCCTGAGTGAAACTGCCACTAAGCAGAAAGAGCTGCTTTACTTTTCATGAGCTGTTTAAGAATACTTGGGAAGAGTTTTCCAAGATGAAACTACTTGTAGCAGCAGACAGAATTCCAACCCAGGAGTAAAGAATCTTGGTTCCCTTCCCTCCCAAGGCCTGTGGCTCTGATCCTGATGTCCACTGCAGCTTGAACCTGCTTCATGTCCCCATGAGGACTCTGTGCCGGGAACCTGGCCCCGGGGGTGCTGGAGGCGGACTGGGTCTCTGAGAGGAACAACCCGCTTGGAGGCCCCTGTCACTGGAGGTGGAGGTGTGCCCTCTGCGGGGTGTGGGTCACTGCTGCTCTGCTGGTCTGAAACGTGGCTGCCCCTCTGACACACACTCCTGCTGTTGCCGTCTGACATTCGGCCCTCACCAGAGCCGAGCCAACGCGGGCACGATGTCTTTGAACCTCCAAACCACGAGCCAAGTAAATCTCTCTTCACACCAGCCTATGTCGGGTGTTCTGTCAGTGACAACAGGCTGACCAATGCAACATCTGTCATTCTTCCACCTGATCGTGAAAGCATGGGTCCTTCTTCCTTCAACCCTCCTATTACTTGCTCCTCCACAGAATGCCCAGTTAAAACGCATCTGTTCAGCTTGCCTGGGTGCTCCTAGAAAACTAGTCACAGAGAGCTCCTCCTAGAAACGGTCTTTGTTTTAAATGTTAAATCTCACACACATGATCCAGTAGATCACACTCCATCTTCTTTTCATTTTTCTATAATGCCCAATCTAGTGCTGCACATACAATGGGTAGAGAGATGAGCAGAACCAGCTCCCTGGCCACTTCCTACCCCAAGAGCACCTTACATAACCAATCGTGCAAGACTGCACTTGGTGATCTGGTAACCCACAACACATAATCAGGTCAAGTCCATAGGTAAGGCAGCCCTTGTAGGGAAACATCTGAGGTAAGCTTTCTAATGTCTGAGACGATAAAAAAACTCATCCTCAGACCTGTGGACTCCCAGGCACGGGGTCTTCTCCCTTGAACCCTGCTGTTGCCTCACTCTGACCCCCTCCAGAGCCCTCTCCCCAGAGGAGGCAAAATGAACTTCCCGAAAAAACTCTGCTCTCCTGTCCATGCTTAACCCACTGTGACGACAGCCCAGCTCCCTCCAGCTCCATGCCAGGCACAAACCTCCTCGAAGGCTTCACCACCACCTCTCACATCCTTCCTGGCTTCTCAGGCCCACATCCCTCAGTGGTGATCAGATCCAAGTGGCTCTCTCTTCTCCTTGAGGTACAGCACAGCCAGTCAGGCCCCATCTCTTCATGGCAGGGCTCTCAGCCCTGGCGCAGTGTAATTCTACAGTCTCCTGTCAACTACGGGCAGCCAGTTTTCTCCCCAAGGACTGTGAGCCCCAGGAGAGCAGGGCCTGTCCGGCTCAGCCACCTATGAGGTCTGTGGGGACCCTGGGGACTGGCAAGTAGGGAGGGCTTCTCTGAGAAAAGAAGGCTAAGCCTGGCCACGGTGCCTCCAGAGCTGTGGGCAGGTGCCTGGCCCTGGCGAGAGCTCTGAGGCCCACCTGAAAGGTAACCAGAAGGGAAGGCAAGTGCAGTGTCACAGGGCAACGGCAAGAGCAGACCTCCCTTTCTAAAAGGCCACTGCAGCTCTGGGGGACTAGGGCAGGGCAGATGAGCCCAGAGAGGGCTTGCCAAGTCTAAAAAAGAGGTGAAGATGTCAGCTTAGGCAGCAGTATCGGGGAAATGTGGTAAATGGGACAGAGTCCCACATACTCGGGTAAAATGAGGAGTGCTGGAAGACAGGGTGGATGTGAGGGAGGGAGCCAGGGAGAGCACCCCACTTCTGGCCAAAACAAACAAGTGGATAGTGAGAAAGCCACTGCTGCACGAGAGGAACAAGTTCAAGTGAGACCATACTGCCTGAGGTCCCTAAGTGGCAGTTCCACCATATACGAGAGGTGAAGTGTCCGAAATTACTTGCTCTATGTCTTTCAGAGCCAGTTCTATTTGATTTTCCTTATTCCATGAATCCACAGTGGGCTTCTCTTTCTTTTCTTGCTTTCTTGGCTAATTCTACCCACCCCACCCTAGAGAGAGCAAGCTCTCATTGGACTGCTTCACCTCTGTGTCCCAGTGCCCAGGACAGTCCTGCCTGCCACCCCACAGGTACCCAGGAATTCTTGTCTGGGGCAGCGATGTGAACACGAAGCTGATGATATCTAAGTGGTCACTCAAGTCCTGGGAATGGACACCTGCCTGGCAGAAGAAGGCAAAGGGAGAAGAATGGGCAATAGGAGGAAGAGACCACGAAGGAGCCAAGCAATACAAAACCTGGGTGGGTGTGGCCTCCTGGAAGGAAGTGGAGAGAGGAAGGAAGGATAACAGCCCTGTCAAATGCCACCAAATGACCAAGCATCGGCCACACCGAGGTTGCATCTGGATGTGGCCTGCTTCCCGGAGCTGTGCTTTGCTGACTAGAGCTGAGGATGAAGCAGGGAGACCAAGAGGATCAGCAACGGTTTTGAGAAATCTGGGTGGGAAGGAGGCAGTGGGTTGGAGGAGGCTGTGATGGTTCAAAGTGGGAAAGGTGGAAGGCACCTCTGTGCTGGTTTCACGGGCCCACAGAAGGGAGATGCCACCGAGAGAATGGCTGAGCCAGGAGCTGGGCCTGGACCCGTCTGTGGGGACCACAGGACAGAAGAGGGAAAGGATGATGGGGCATAGACCTGGCCAATCCGCTGGCTTTGTCCATGTGCATGGGAAGGCAGTACCAGGGCATCTGCCAGGAATCACTGTACAGGAGGGGAAGGAAGGGACAAGGCCTGACGAGAGTGGAGAAGGTGAGGGGAACATTGGGCACAGGACAAAAGCAAGGTAGCTGTTAACAATATTCCTCCTCAGCTCCAACCCCAGTGGCCGGCAGACCGCACCAATGGGCAGCGCCCAGGAGCACTGCCTGCATGGAATTCTCGACCACACAGACACTTTGCCTCCTCCTCTGTGTTCTCTAATGGTTCCTTAACCTCTGCAAATGTCTGTACAGTGCCCATATGTGCTGGACACTGGGAATGATAGTGTGGGCCTGTCCTCATGGTGCCCATAACCTGGAGGTGGGCAAGGCAAGGGTGGAAACTGTGGGAGCAGCTATTCCAGAACTGCACTGCATCCTCCAAGCACTGGCACGGTACTGTAGTGGCCTCACAGACAGCAAACCCAGGTTCCGAGTGTGGGGTGGGCACCTAGGATCATGCAGCGAGTGGTACAGCCACTTGAACCTTGTTCAGGCCATGGCCTTCAATCCTGGGTTGATCCCAACACCGCCTCTTCCCTTTACTGCACACTGCAGCAATTTCACTCTCTACTGTATTTCAAAATTTTCTTCTTCAGTTTTATAATGGACTGACCAAACTGCTACCACTAATGTGCCAGAGGCTAGCTGATATCTTGTGACATACTCCTTTAGGAAGTGTTTTTGCCCCTCGTGAAATTCCAGTCTGAATGTGACCAAGGCCTGGGTCTAACCCCAGCTGATAGACACACGATGGAAAGGGGAACACACAGTCTGGAGGAGATGTGATCTGTAAGACACAGCACGTGGGGACGTCACAGCAGGGTCCCCTGCAGCAGCGCTACTGACACCTGGCTGGGCGATCCTCTCTTTCTGGGGTCTACAC